TTAAAAAAAACACCAGTATCCAAGGGGTATCCAATTTTCCACTAAGGATACTTAAAATCATGTAACTGATTAATTTATGGCAACTATTATTACAATAAGAAAAAGGGAAAGACTTAAAATTTTTGGAAAATTCTTAATGTACCCCGCTGTGTTTATGGAAGAGTCTGGGAGAGCTGCGCTCGAATGCAGTAAGGCCTCTCTTAGTGTTTTTCTCAGAAACAAACCAAGGGACACACTTCTCGCCAGGGCTGCTTAGGTGTTATTTCCGAAGAATGAGGGCATAAATTCCAATCCTATCTCTTATCTGAAAGATGTGAGCAAAGCTAAATTTCAAGAGAAACATAACCCAAACTTCTTTTAGACTGATTATTTTAAGTTGGGAGGAACAGATGATGAAAGGAAAAAAGCGTTGGTCTCACCCCACTGTAAACTGAGATTTAAGTCCACTTACCCCCAATATAATATGTGAATCCTTTAAGTAACCACCAAATATGTATTTCCATTCATTATGCTTTTTAACAGGTGTCAAAAACTTTAAGTCGGAAAAAGCAAAACAGAATTTATCCTACCTTTTCATTTAAAAAGGTGCCTCTCAGGCCTATTTAAAAGGAGCGTGAGGTGCTGCCTGCAGGCAGCCCCCGCTGGAGCCCGGGGAAGGAAGGTGCTCACGCTTTGCAGGCACCGGCCACGGCCCTGTTCATGCTCCAGTCACTCTCGAATCACAAGTAGCAAAAGCAACCAGGGGAAGGACCCTAACCGAAAAAGTAAGCTGTGGTTCCTGAACTCACTGACATTAACTATGACAGAAGAAATGAGGCCCTGAGTCCAAATTTGGCAAGTAAGTAAAGGAAGAAGTCGTCTTAAAGCAAACATCATTTTTTGTTTCTTTTTACATTTTTAAATTATCCTCAACATGTGTGACCAGATTATTTAATTTCAGATCAAAAGTATCTGTCAAATAATAGTATCGCTTTGTGCTTGGGACCATGAATAAAGTTGGAAGTAACCACATGAGTAACATCAACTGCCTCAGTTTTAAAATAAATATTTGATATGCTTCATATGCAAATGACCCATAACTGAAGGTTACCCGCCTTACTGTGTTACAATAAATGCTTTGGTAAGACCTTCCCATCTTTAGTGAGTACCTTACTAGTTGAGAGTTTAACGCATAAGGGATTAATTTGTATTTACTGCAAAGAGAGCTACTAAACACCAAATGTAACTCAGCCCAGAAAATGGTAAAATTCTACCCAAGAAATATACTTCTCAAGTCGTCAGAATAAAGGGTGTGAAATACTGTGAAGAAATTTGGATTGAAGGTGGCTATCCAGGGGCACTTCCTTAAAACAAGCAGTCGATGAAGCAATCATGAGCCCATGAGAACATGTGGCATTTTCTTTAAAAAATAAAAGAGCAAAAGAAAAAGGTTTTGATATAACAAAACACTGAATGATCAGAAATCAGAAAGTTTCACATTGTGCCCTGGTCTAATGGCCCTTTACCAATATAATTTCAAAAGCTCTGAAAACCACCTTTAAGTTAATTATTACATTTGGACCCTATGAGTGAATGGTAATGACATCCCAGTCTGGAAGAATAAGATGACTATAGGAAATTTACAAGAGTATCTCCCAGGTTCAGCAAGTTTGTCATTTTAAAAATTGGTTGAATTTGTTGGCAGATTACTTCATTTACTTTTTTTTTTTTTTTTTAAGAGACAGGGTCTCGCTACATTGCCCAGGCTGGTCCCAAACTCCTGGCCTCAAGTGACCCTCCCGCTGCCTCGGCCTCCCAAAGTGCTGGGATTACAGGTGTGAGCCACCATGCCTGGCCTTGCAACTACTATTTTTAGAGGTCATCGAGGGAAAAGAAGAAGAGTTTTACTACCTATTTCTAAAATGACAGAACTGCTTAAGTAAAGAACATTTGTAACTTTGAATTAAATGTTTAAAAACATGTAACCAAAAACATCCTGCACCTCCCCTTCCCAAGGCCATTTATATCTTCTTGACTTTTTCCTTTCTTGATACTGAGTCAGAAAGTCAAGATGAATAATAACATACATCTTTCAATTCAGAAAACCGAGTTTTTAGAGGCATCAAAGTGGTTTGTGCTAGACACAAGGCGGTGAAACTGTAAAGCAGGGTGTTCCAGACCCCAGCGCTGGTGTGTAGGACGGTCACTGGCCACAGAACACCTCTGTGCAAATCAGAAAAGGTGACCCTCCACTCTTGTTGTATACTCATTTTATCAGAATAAAACACTTCCCTGCCATTCGCTGGAGAACTCCTGAATAAACAGAGAAACGGATAATGTCTGCGATGTGATGCCGCTTCCCAAGGTGTGCAGCATGCAGACGTTTGCAGCGGCCTGCATGCACTGGCCATGCTGTTAACGCAAGTACACAAAGCTGGCCGGGAAGAGACACCTGTGCTGTGCCCAGCGTGACACAGTTAATTACAGTCTGTCTAGGGTGTTATCAGGGCATGAGAACTGCAGCCAGGTGGGACCCCAGCCAAGGTCGTGAACTTCACATATGATCAGCCTCTTTATTCTAGAGTCACACCTTCGATAAAGAGCCAGTGTTCTAGCAGAAAACCTCTCGTCTTTGGATACCAGTTGAAAAGTAAAAAGACCCCCGTAAGAATCTTTGCTTGTACGTTTAGTGAAAAATTTATGTGCCTTTGCTGTACTATATACGTGCATTTCTTGTTTTAAGCATATTTATTCACTGGTCAAAAACTTGCTTTGAATACAAAGTTACATGCTTTATGTAAATGATATCATTTAATCCTTTAAACAATCAGATGAAATAGATATTAATGTCTAGTTACAGTTGAGGAATGAGAATCAAAGAGGTTAAGAAAGTTCCTCAAGGTCACCCAGCTAAACAAATGCTTGAGATGGAATCAAAACCTCTATTTATTATAGCCTTACCTCTTTCTAATATAATACTATATTACCTTT